AGAAACCTTCTGTTTTACAGTCTTTATCATACCTTGAATGTATTTGCGCATATGAAAAACAATTCATCTTTATACCTTGTTTCTCTAATTTTTGTATAGATTTAAGTTCACCCTTTTCATTCAATATTTCACCATATCTAACTGTTTGTTCCTTTTTATATATTATAGGATAAGAAAATACTTCAATAGTCGATAGTCAGACTGGAATTTTCAAATAACATTGTCTTTTAGTCTTCTCCCAGTTTAACCACAGAGACTCTCGTATATAATGTCTTCTAAAATACCCCTGTGTTTTAGTTCCTTTATACCATAGAAAAGCATGCCACCCCAAGAACAGATAATGTCCTTCTAATGTCAACAATCTAGTATTTCATAATGTTATCCATTCCTTAACCCACATCAAATTTATAGCCTGGTAATACCATTCCCAATTAGGCAAACCAAATCCTCCTCTTATTCTGGCATCTTGCAAAAGTTTTAACTTTATTCTCGCTTTCTTACCTTGCCATATATAATTCAACACAATTTTATTTAAATCTTCAAAGTAATCTTTTCCAAGCCTAATTGGAATTGTTTGGAACAAATATAAAATTCTGGGTAATATATTCATCTTGATTGTTGATATTCTCCCTATTAATGACAGTTGTAAATTTTCCCATTTCACCAAATCTAGCGCTATCTGCTGCTTAAGTTTGATATAATTATTCTCTTTTAGTGTACTGCATCTTGCTGTCAAATGTATCCCCAAGTACTTGATCTTATTCATGACCTGAATTTTCAATAGATCTGCCAGTTCTTCATTTTGTTTTGATAGCATATTCTTTGTCAAGATCTTTGTCTTATCTTTATTTATTTTCAAACCAGCCACCTTTCCCTATACCTCTATCTTTTCTATCAGTTTTAATGCTGTTTCTAATGGATCTTCTAAAATGAAAACCAGATCATCTGCAAATGCTTGCAATTTAAATTCTTATTAATTTTCATCCCTTTTATATTCTTTTCTTCTCTAATATTTCTGTTTAACACTTCCAAGGTTAACACAAACAACAGAGGTGACAGTGGGCACCCTTGTCTTGTTCCTTTTCTTATATCAATAGAGTCTGTCAATTCTCCCTCTATCATTACCTTTGCCATTTGGTACATCTGTTCCAGCTGTAATAACATGAATCGCCAATTCACATTATCAAATGCCTTCTGTGCATCTAGAAATATCAAAGCCATTTGTTTTTCAGGGTGTGCCTCATAGTATTCCAAAGTGTCCAAGATTACTCTCATATTATCTTTAATTTGTCTCTTTGGCAGAAATCCATTTTGATCAGGATGGATAAAATTGTTTAAGTATTTTTTGAAGTCTTTCTGCCAATATTGAAGCAAAAATTTTATAATCTGCGTTTAGTAAGGAAATAGGTCTATAATTCTTCATTTGTAATGGATCGGCCTCCTGTTTTGGGACAAGTGTAATATAAGCTTTTAACCATGATTTAGGTATCTTCTCTAACATAACTTCATTCATAACTTCT